GGAAAGAGCCGGTGGCTGATGCACTGGGCACGAGCGTCCGCAGAGGGTAGACGCCAGCGTTTAGGAGAATCCGCCCCACCCCGGGGAGAGGCGGCAGTCTAGGAGGCGTGGAACCGAGGCTGACCTGATGGGGGGACCACAGCTGGGCCCCATTCAAAACACACAGCCCTGTGTACGAACAGAAGCAGCCATCCCACTCGGAGCCTGTGAGGGCCTCCCGTCAGCAGCGTGGTCATGGCGAACCCCGAGGCTCCTGGGGCGGCAGAGGGGAAGCCGGTGAGCCTAGACAGGGAGCGGGGTCCAGGGCCTGCCATCAGACCCGTTTCTATAGTAACGCGTGGTGTTTCATCTCGTTACACTAGAACATGCCATCCTGGGATGAGAGCCAGCAGGGTCTCTGTGGGAAAGCCAGACCCCACTCTGAATAAAGCGGGTCCAGTTTGCTAGAGACCCGAGCCCTGTGGCATGAAGTGATGCTGCGTAAATAACCCGGCGGAGAGCGCAAAGGGGGAGGAAAGAGGGGCATCTGATCAGGCGGATAAACGGCTCTGGGCAGAGAGAGGGCCGGGCTCGCTCTCCAGATTTAAAATGAATAGAGCAGGACTCCCACCAGCAGCAGAGCCACACGCTCCTGTTTGGGTAATAACCCGGCGTTCACCTTCCCGACGAGTTAAAATACCAGGAACCGGGGAGATTACGTCACCGCCTGCCAGGAATGGGGAATCAGCTGGTCACATCCCGACTTAGTGCCTGTGCGCGCATTGTCCCTGCGTGGATGTCTCTGCTGCTGCGTCTTCAGGGGGCGCCCAGCATTCCGTGTGTCTAGTCCCAGAGGCTTGTGACGGATGGAATCCAGAGCCAGAGACAAGCCGCAGCGTCCGTCAGCCCATCCTGTCCCCTCCACCCTGTCCTGTCCCGGTCCCCTCGGTGGGAAGGCGAGGCTTCCCGGGCACCCACGTCGAAGCCCACCCTCCGCCAGGGCCACTGGTCGGAATGGCACGGAATTGCTCGTTATTGGCCTGATAGGATCCCGTGTGGGGTTTTCATTCATCTTTTTATTTGTGTTCGTGCACACCTTCAGCTGATGTTCTCCTTTAGGTTCCTGAGGCTTGGAGGGCATGGGCAGCCAACAGCCCTGCTCTGCCCACCGTGGTTTTAGCATCTGGAACGACCCTTTTCCTGACGTTAGAACAATGAGCCACCTTAACCGACCAGCGGGAGGGCCATCCCAGTGCCCAGAGAAACCTTCCCAGTCCTGAGGGATTTGCCTTCCGGGCGTCCACGCCCTTCCCAGTGCGGACACACCGCTTGTCAACCTCGGGCAGCCAGTGTCCAGGCCAGGTCTCCCCCTGGTCCTTTCCGCTTCGATGACCCACCCGGTGACCTGGAGGCTCCGTGACACCCCCGGGAGAGGGTGTCCCTGAGCCCACACTCAGGGGGGGTCTTTCTGGAGGCCAGAGTGTGCGGAATCAGGTGCCGCACTGACTCAAAGGCAATTACGTTGCCATAAGAATTGACTAGAACAGAGTACGTCCTCTGCGTGTTGCTGGCTGTGATGTGAGAGTTGGCGGGACGGGACTGCAGGCTGCTCTCTGAGACCCAAGAGGAGACTCTGGGGGGCCTCAGGGCTGGGCGTCCGGATTGCCAGCTCTTCACAGCCAGCCACCCCCCGGCGATTTGGTGTCGGAGGGATGGTGCCTGCCGGGGCCGCATGCTGGCCTTCGGGGGAGAACCCAGGTGGAGTCCTGGGCGGTGACCCCTCCAAGGGCCGTGGCTGGCAGCTGCAGCCCCTGGAGGAGACAGGCCCACCTCCGGTCCCGCTGTCCCCTGTAGTGTCTGAAGCACAAGGTTGCATGTCTGATACGCAGCCCCTAATACTTTTCTCTTGTGTGTTTTCAGATATTTGAACAGTTCGTCAAGACGAGGATAAAAGAGGAATACAAGGAAAAGAAAAGCAAACTGCTGCTAGCCAAAGAAGAATTCAGAAAACTTCTGGAGGAGTCGAAGGTGTCGCCCAGGTATGGAGAGAGATACACCAGGAATGGAGAGAGGGGTAGAGGTGCCCCCTGGACCAAGGCTGAGCTTTCCCCTGCTCCCCAGGTGCCCTAGCCGCTCAGGCCCAGCCCCGACCACCC